GATGAGTTGTAAAGACTGCGGCAAAACGTATACTACTAAAACTCGTTTGGAGAATGGGAGACTTGGACACGACCAAAAATTATTGAGGCCTGTAACAATGTATTAGATTTTTGGATGTTTTCTAAAATTTGTGAAAAGCAAAGCGTGACATGAGAGTTATTTAAAGCGACGAAATGCCCATTCCATTAGACATTAATTTTTTTACGATACTCTCTCAAAATTAACAAAAACTCTTAGGGTAAATTTTTGTATAGTTTGTATTTGAAAAATAATTAATTTTTTGAATGTGGGAGTGGGGTTTCGCCTCATCATATACAGTTAGGCATTAGTCTACTAAAGGAGTATTTATATTGGAGATTTAATTAACTATCAATAAAGAGTCTTCAAAAAAATGAGAATCGAATACTATTAATTTTTATGAAACCACCAAATATAATTTGGTATAAAATTCCTGCATAAATTACTGAACAGCAATATTGACAGTCCGCTGTTTTACCCGAGATCAATTTCTTAGTACCAAGAAGTGAAGGTCGACACAATCTGAAATTCTATTGCGGAGCATCACGCACAAATGTTATGCTACGATCACCATTGCATTTTATGTGTAGTAGCTTCAATAAAATCTGTGAACATTGCGATATTTATTTCGACTCTCTGAACGCCTTGGTATCATGTATCCACAATCACTTTTAATAATACTATACATAACATTTATTTGAATAACATTTGAAATTCTACGTATACGAATATTTTGTTTTAGCATTTACTTTTATACATTTCTATATTCTATTACTTTCAACATTTATTTCATATATACTTTGTAATAATAGCATTTCCTGTAACTGGGTACTCCTATTGAAAATAAATCGCTTTTTTTGCACATATGATGTTTCAGCATTATCCAGGCCCATTTTCACCTTTGTAACAAGATTTTGGTGGTCACTGTGAATGAATTGAAACACAGAAAAGTTACATACGTATCATGGAATCGAAAATTTCCTTTCTACTTTTTTTTCAGTTTTGCGGTACGAAGTTTATTATTTCAACATGCAGATATTTCAGTTACCCAAGCTTCATTTTGAAAACTATTGTTGAAATTACTAGAATGTCTTAGAAAGAGACGACATTTTTTATTCCGTCCCTTCGCCTATCAAGAAATTTATTTTCTGTCTAGGCAAAGATGTGGTGATTTTGTTTCCTTTCATTATTCAAAAGGCATTTTAAGAAATTTACTTTGTGACGAGCCTTGAAAAATATGGTTGCATATCTATTAGACTATAAGCGAGGATGCTAATTTTTTCATAGACATATTCATCTCTCACCCACATAGTCTTTCCAATACAATAAAGTTCTCTTCTTTATCTAGATCCTCATTCTAGAAAATTCAATAAAATGATGTTAACGAGGCAAAATTCACTTAGAACAATGCTATTGATCTGCTCTCATATTTGGTATTGGTTAATGTTCAAAGTTTTGGGATTATTGTTTTGGGAATTGTGAAATTTTTTGAAGACAAACTCATTTTTTTGTTGATGTATTTAGTTCATGCGGTAGTATGCTTCCACTGTATTTTCAAATAATCATTTTCTACATGATTTCATAAAGGGTAATAATACAAAATGAATCTTTCATGATAACTCATTCTTGAAATTAAAAAAAAAACTGGAGTTAATTGATTTGAGTTAAAAGTAACAGTGATGTAAAATTTAATCAATCATTTTATGCGGTAAATATGAAATCAGCTTGACTTCCTTCAATTAGATGAAACCTCGCCACATCATGAGGAGCAAGATGAGGCAACACCTGGTGTGTACTTTCGAACAGCTTAATTTGTTAAGTAAACACATATCCCGAGGTTACTGACAGTTCATAGAAGCATCAGACACGTCGAAATCACTGCAGCGGGTTTTATCTACAAGTGGTATGTTGGTAAATATTATTGAAAGGCTTGAAAATCAAGATATTCTATTGAAAGATAGCACGAACATCTTGCAAGGGGAATCATTAAAGAACTTCTCTCGTTACATGCGGACAGTATTTACGTGACTTTTGTGGGCAACAAATCATAAATGAAAGACATGCGCTACGCGCAATTTCCAGATGGTTATGTCTGAATACTTAGAACAGCATTGTTTGATGTAATATGCAACATATAGAATGTTGATTCATAGCAATAAATAATTTATTTCCCTCATTTATTCCATATTAAATGAATGCTATCTACGTTAAGAGTTTTACTACATCAATTCCACAGACTTCGTTCATACTGCTTGAAAATTCTTCAAAATGTACTAGGTGTCACATAAAAGGAATATAACGGTAAAACTGTCGAAATTCATACTTTCCACTAATATTACCAAAACATGGACATTCTTGAAACTCGAACCTATTCCATGAAGCGAGATTTAGATGTAAAGACAATTCAATGTAATGAGAATTGGGCATGATAACACTCTGATATTCTTGCAACTTCCGTGCATTTTCGTTCGGATGGAACATACACTCAAATTTGAAGGGGTATATTTCTAGGAGAAATTAGGGTTTTTGGAAAGGAAGGTTTTAGCTTTCTATTTCCGAAGAAAGAAAAAACGCAATTAATTTCAAAATCAACTCTTCGCAAAGATGTGTAATTATACACTTTCATACAAAAACCTCTTCGATTCATACTTTCATTTAAACATCGATTTACACGAAACAAAATGTACTTCTGAAACAATTATTTCTATATGAACATTGAATTATACAAAATCACTTTTCCCCATTCAGTATGTACCTACTCCAAACTTTCGTTATGAAATTGAATCAAATATCATTCAGAGGAACGCTACACAATATACTATAGAGTCTTCCAACAGGGACTTCCGAAATTTGACAATTAATAACGGCCATCTTGTTGAAGCTACATCTGTCAAATCAGTTGTCATTCATTCAGTCTGTCTGCTAAATCACCATAAACGGATGACGCATTCAATATCACGTGAAAACGATAATTTTTTTTATCAGAATGCGTGTGTTGTTCTGGCAACATAAGGCGCTTCGCCCATTTTACGGTTGCCATAATCGTCCTACCGAGGAAACTATTCGCAATGTGGTAAATGAATTTGAATCCACTGGTTCAGTAAACGATCGACCAACACCCGTACGTCGCCTAAACGCAAGATCTGCCAAAAACATCACCACTGTCTGTGAGAGTGTGCAAGAGAATCCGAGGCAATCGATTTCGCCCCGCTCATAAGAACTCGGTCTTTCGCGGACCACAACTTGGCGAAATTTGTGTCGTGACTTGGGCCTGGACCCGTACAAAATTCAACTGACCCAGGAACTGAAGGTAAAATACCATAGAAAACGAACTGTGTTTGCTGAATGGGATCTGGAGCAGTTGGCAACTTGCCCTAATTTTCATCAAGAAATCTTCTTCAGAGATGAGGCTCATTTATGAATGAATGGGTGAGTGACGTAAGTGACAAACCAAAATAATCGAATTTGGAAAGATACCAATCCACATGAGATCCAAGAGCGTCCAATGCACACCGAAAAAGTCACTTTTTGGTATGGATTTTCGGCGCTACGTGCCACACAACTCATGCTATATTGGATATTCTGCACGAACGATTTGAGGGCATGATCATCTCACGTGGAGATGATGTGAACTGATCACCGAAATCATGCGATTGGACCCGTTAGACACTTTCCTGACTGCGAGTAAGTATGCGAGTAGGTCTTTCAAACGGATAAACATTTCGATGATATCTCACACATTCACTCTTGGTTTTATTTCAAATTAAAAATAGAAAGTACTTAATGAAAGACGATATATATGAAAGAGGCAAAATTTCACTTACATGGAACACTGTCATCTTCAACAGCTGACATCAATGTTTCAGAACGAAACACTCGTCTTATCAACCCTTCAGCACCAATTTGGGTAACATTACAAGATGAAGTACTCAGTTCACTCTCAACATTACAACTTCATGTCTCGGATGAGTTAAATTTACTCATGTCACGATATCAGTACCTAATGGCATTCATACGAAATTCCTGTCTGTATCTGAACAAAACTTCTGTTCATGATCTACATTTCTCTGTAAATAGTTTCCCACTCCTATTAGCATGTGGTTCATTGGCGATCATTTTCGTCTCATTACATTGAACCCACTGGCCACCGTTGGATTATAAAATATATTCTGATAATTATTTTCATCCTATCAATTTCATATTTCTGATGTAATCTCGATGTTCATTCTTGCTCAATTTCAATGGCCTTGAAGTTTCACCGACATAACTTTTGAAATCCCCACAAAGTACAGAGATTTCATGATTCACAGTGAAATAATAGTTATTTCAAAAGTTTTGTCCGTTTAAATGTCATATGTTTTTGTATCTCCAATTCTCAATGAATGTTCATTCTACTGTATCGTGGTATATACTGATCGATAGAGAATTGTGTACTCTATACATTGATGCTGTTAGTTGATTTTTTGCCTCTTTNATACAAGTAAAAATAGAACAATTGAATAAATAAAAATAAAGAAATGAAAAAAGAAAGAAAATAAAAAGTGAAGAGATTCCAAGTCACGTTAGTTCACGACGTTTCGATTGTTAGTATCTACAATCGTCTTCGGGGTAAAGATAGCATTTAATTAGTCGTCTCCCAAAATAATGATTTTTATGCTTTTCTGAATTCATTCAACTGACCCCTCCCAAGAATCGCCCTGTTTTTCCCGTAAACATTTCTACGCCTACCACATTGCTCCAGATGGCGCAAAAACTCTCAACTAACTAGATTTCTTCCATCAGCGGTTTGTTAACATTACCACGTACAACAAATGTTAATCGGTAGATAATTGCATAGATACCTATATTGGCGAATGCGAGATAGTTGAGGAGATAGTGGCTATACGTTATTGTGGTACAAAGTAAAAAATATATCAGCGCTGTTACCGGTAAAAGAAAACAATTACCTACGCTCTTGGTTAATTGTTGAGTGTATTACTCACCATATTGGTCCATAGGGTTTGAGATGGTAGATTTATCTGGAAAAGATAGAAAAACAATTGTTGACATTTTACGTACTCGTATATCAAAATAGATGAACAGTTTTTGTTACTATGAAGTCATGGTGAAGTAATAAATATAACTTCTACAAACTAAATTCTTCAAGATTTTAGAAAACTAGTCGAAATCTGATTGAGTTACCCTCATTGTAACTCAACCTTGAAAAATATAATAACTTTGGATAAGTCTTTTGTACAATAATTGAAACAATAAATCACACAGTAACTGTTTTCAAGTGAGTGTATTATTGTAATCATGAAACTACTTATGTAGTCAAGACCCATTTTAGTGAGAGGATTTTTCAAACTCATTCCTGAAAATAATGAAAGGTTTTTCATTTCTTCAAGAAGTAACTTTAAAGTATGAAATATCTATCGATTGGCTGTTTTGAGATTTTGTTGGTCAAACTGGGAACTAAAACTTCCCAAAAGCGTTTGCAAAACTTGCCACCGTGGACCAGCCTACGCAAGCTGAGGTGTAAGGAATCGTGCCGAGAGCTGAGTGGCCGCAGGGTGATATGCAGTTACGAATGATCTCTTCGGGGGAACTGGGCGAAACCTCATTGTAATCAGCCTACCTCTGGTAATGCGAGGCTCTGTCAGAAGTGATCAACTCTTCCCTTTCTGCTCGTGGGAACACACATGAATGAAACAAACACAAAAACAGGAACAACAGAAACCAATCCCGAGGCTGGACAGAAGTGCTCACCTCAATCTGAGGCGGTGGCTGGGGACCTAGGAGGACAATTCCTCGAAGGAAGTGTCACACGTGGTCTGAGTGCTGTAGGTCTACACTCACCCTCCCTACTCTACAAATACAGATATTCAAAACATATTTCAGAAGAAAATCATATCTTTACGGAGAGTTCAAAATTTTACACATAGAAAATAAAGGCTTGAAACTGAATCACTTGTAAGCAATGGAGAATACTAAACTAGAAAATTCAAACATTCTAATGAAAGACCAACTAGATTTGAATAGATCACCTTTGTTGAACTTGTTTTCTTAAAGACCGAGAAAGAATTCATTATTGATGTAGATGTGAGGTAATATGCTTCAGGTGATCATAATTGAACAGGTACGTTAGATAGAGGTTCAGGTAATTTTTTGGAGGTAGTCTCAATTANCGCCTGGCGAAAAAGAGAAATATAACTGCGTGTCGTCTGCATAGTGATGTATATTGCATTTTTTCACGGACAGATAAAAGTCACAAATATACAAGCTAAAAAGCAAGGGCCCAAGGATAGATCCTTGTGGCACTCCCTTCAATACCGGCAGAGCATCTGAAATAACTTCATCCACAACAACTCTTTGAGTACGATTCAATCCAGTTTTCATAATGTTACGTTCGTAAGATGTGTGAATATTCCTTAACCCTTTATAGCAATTCTCAGCTCATTACTGAGTCAATCATGACCTAATTTGTGTTATCTTTTCAACCTGCAGTTGTAGCTATTCGCTCAATTATAAAAAATATTCCGCTAGTTCACTACAAAGGTTACTGTTAAAAAAAATATGTTTTTCCGTTAACCAACTACCGCACCCCTACGAACGACAACCCTCAGAACTCGAAACTTGTGCGAGCTAAGGATTAACGAGTTCTTACCTTTCAATGTATGATTCCTAACACTCGTGTGAGTTATTCAAGTGAGATACTGCTAAAGAAGCACGAATACTCCTAAGACTTTCACACATATTTGTTTCATTTAAAACTGCCATAATTGACACAACCAGAAGCCTTCGACCAATGTGGATAAAGTTCGACATTTTTTAGCATAAACGTACAGGTACTATTTGTTATATTTACAGTAAATTAAGAAAATAATTTTAACCAAAAAATGGAAATTTCAAGAGAACGTTTTCGTTGAATTATTTTTCACAACTCGGTTCTTTAAATGGCGATAGAGCACCATCAAAAACCACAGTATATCACTGGTATAGTGAATTCAATCGTGGTCGTAGTTTGGTCGCCGACGAATTCCGTGAAGGTCGTCCAATATCGGTTGTTGTGCCATAAAACATCGATGCAGTGCGTGAACTAATAATGCAAGATCATCATGTGACATATTGTTAGATAGAAGCATCGTTGCACATTAGTTTCACTTCAATACATTCGATTTTGCATGAACACTTTTAAAAAAGTTGTTCTCGTTGGATAATCCATAATTTATCAATCGCTCAAAAAAAGGCTCGCGTCAAGTGGTGTGGAGAAAAAATTAAAAATGTAGACGAATCATGAGCTCATGAGCGCATAAGCCGGAAACAAAACAGTAGTCAACCGTGTAAGCATTCCAAGAACTAAATCCAACAAAAGTTGTTCGAGAAAGAAGCACACCGAAGCAAATGGTCGTCAGTTTCGCTTGAGCAAGGTACAATGGTCAATTCTGATTAGTACACGACCATTTGTTTGCCAAAAGTCTTCGGAGAAATTCGTAAAACTAACGGCCGAAGACGAATCATTCTCCATGATGACACTGCAAACTATCACACATCTCGTCAAACAGGTGAATTTTTGAGCAGTCAAAACACCGAATTTATAACTCATCCTCCGTACAGTCCTGATGTGGCACCCAATGACTTCTTGTTCCCGAATATCAAAAAAAAACTGCATGGTTAACGCCGAAGAAGCAGTTGAATCTTTCATAAACCATGTTTTGGGGGAATGGAAAAACTGCTTTGACAAATGGTTTGAGCAAATGCAACAGTTGATTGATCATAATATTATTTGCTATTCCCGAAATATAAATAGTACCGCTCATATATACTTACATTATTTATAACAGGTTTTACAAACTACAAACAACAATGAAAATTGAGTACAGTTAAAAAATGTTTTACAGAAATTAGGAGCATTAGCGTCATTTTCAGAGGTCTCATTCTCATTCTTTGCATGGTTATTAAATAATCTATGGAAAATTTCGCATCAATTCTTCATCAACAGTAAGCATAACATCAAACTTTTTCCCTATTTTGTATTTATAATTTTTTATATTGTCTTGTTTTCATTTTCATTGTTTCTGGATTCATCAACATTCTATTATTATTATTTCGTGTTCGAATAACACTTGATTGTGATATTATTACCACAAGTGAAAATCTCACAATGAAGTGTTTGTCACAATACGATAGCTTCTTCTGGCGCATTTATACTAAATGAATTATACCTAATTAGTGCTTCATGTGAATTGACAGTTTGAATAATATGATTTTCTACCCACTTGATGATATACGAGTATTATCTACCTGAGTGAAGTAACTTTCCGATTAGACCTGTGCTGTGCTGTCTTTTGCTCATGCAATTAATTCAAACCTATACTATTTTCAAACCACGATTTAGCAATAATAATACTACATACAGTGTGTAAAAGCCAAATGGAATAAATTAATTATTTCGGTTATGCCACAGATTTTAACAAAATACCGAAACACGTCCAATTTAAATTGTAATTTGACATACTTCAACGTAAAAATGCTACCCCTACCTTCAACCCCCAATATTTTAAATAGTAAGAATAGGCTTGTGATATATCGTTTGAAAGGTCTCTTCATTCTCTAGTCAAAAATGTTATCGCTTTCAAGTTCATTGCAACAATTTAGATAAAATAAATTAAAATCATGTGGTTACCGAAATTCGATAAAATACACTCAAAACTTATTGCAATATCCTCCAAACTCATTTCATGTTGAGGTATTGATATAGGAAAGTAAGCAAAAACTATAGCAATGTTCGTTTCAGATTGCATCCTTTAAAAAACTGTAAATAATTTTCTTGGCAACGTTAGTTGAAAACGCCTTGTCAACTTGTTTTCTATGGTAAAACATTAGTTGTCATTATTTTAATTCAAGTTTGAAGTTCGTTAACTTCAAGTCTGACAAATTGTTAGATTAACGGAAATACATAAAATAACAGTTTTACAAATTATTGGTTACGGAAATAAAACCCGAACACAACAGAAAGTAGCTCGCCTATTTCCTGAGAAACAATAAGCACAGTATAGAAGCAGTTTCGCGAGCTTGGTCATGTGGGGCAGATAAAAAAAGCAGCTACCAATGCAATGAGTGATGAACTCAAATTAGATGTGATGCTTGGGTTTGAGGAAAACCCACATACATCGATTAGACAGGCATCCACTACATTCAATGTTAGCCATACATCGACTGGTCGGTAGCCGGGCAGTTCGACGTGGGTGCTTTGTTCATTCAGTCAATCGGCCGATGTGTGAGTCGATGGTTCAAGCCCCAGGCTGAACACTCGATTTCCACTTGCGATTATCCAACCAGTGTTAGGAATCACACGTTAAAATGTAAGAATTCGTTAGTCTTCAACTCGCACAAGTTTCGACTTTTGAGGGTTATCGTTCGTAGGTGTGCGATAGCTGGTTAACGGAAAAAACATATTTTAAACATATTTTGAACATCGATAGTAAACATATTAAAATGAAATAAAATGCATCCCTATAAAATGATACCTACTCAGGGGCTCATGGAAGACGATTTTGATAGAAGAACTTATTTTTGTGAGCAAATGATGGACATGTTGGATAACAATATCATCCAATTAGAAGACGTTATGTTTTTTATGTTTTCTGATGAGTGTACTTTGTCTCTTAACGGTCATGCTAATCGGCAAAATTGCCGCTACTGGTCAACGGATAATCATCACTGGATGAGAGAAGAAGACACGCAATACCCTCAAAAGGTTAATGTTTGGGCAGGGATTGTAGGAAACCATATCATTGGTCTCTTTTTCATTGGGGGCAACTTGAATGGCGATAATTATTTGGCACTACTTCAAAATGATGTCATTCCAAATTTAGCAAATTTATATCCTGATCTAGGAAATCATCAAATTCCAGTGAATACGATATGGTTTCAGTAGGATGGAGCACCAACACATTACCAAGTTAATGTCCGACAATACCTCGATACAACATTTCCCAATCGGTGGATAGGGAGGCGAGGATC